GGCTACATGGCACCAGGTAAATGTTATTATCAAGTTCATTTGAAGATTTTAAATGACGTTAATTATTTTCACTAATGATTGCGTGATTTTTTTTGCAGAGTATGGATCAGAAGGCAAAGTATCAACGAAGGGAGATGTTTATAGCTTTGGTATTTTGTTAATGGAGACTTTTACAAGAAAGAGCCCCGTGGATGATCTATTCGTTGGAGACTTCACCTTGAAAAGATGGATATGCCAATCATTACCAAACCGATTGGTGGATGTAGTGGACATTAATCTATTTTCACTGGACGAAGAAAATTTTACTTCTAAAGAGAGATGCTTCAAATCAATCATGGAATTAGCTCTTGAATGCACAAATGATCTGCCGGAAGAGAGAATCTGCATGGAAGATATTACTCTGCGACTCAAGAAGATCCTAACTCAATTTCTGCAGAATGCTGTGACAAACTAAATGGATCTATAGTGGATTTGTCACATTGTGTTCACAGGCACAAAAGGTTGGGCTAGTACATAGAACTAAGAGATTAATATTCCGTTTCAATTATTTTAGAAAGTTCGTTTGGTGTTTGTTCTTCTTTATACGTAATAATTATTTATGTAGGTATATCATTTTTATTCTTGTTTTTTTTTTCCTTGTCTGAAGCATCAATCAATAAAATGTTATCATCGAAGATTTATCATAGTCTCACTGCTTTTTTCTGAGCTTGGTAAAATTTATGCTTAGTCAGATATTTATTAAAAAGTGTAAACTTAGAACTTAAATAAGTAAGATCACAATATGACATGATTATTATGGAATGAAAATAAACTACACATAGAATTTGAATAAGCAGATCACTAAATCACATGATATTTTTCTGAGTCATTGCATTTCTGACACCACTTTCTTGGCCTCACCTAGACTTTCCTAATTCCTAATAATAACCTCAGATCGTCGGTAAAATAAGAATCAAGTTAGTGCTTGAAAATAAACCATAAAGATTTGCTGAGACCTATAGCAGAATTCAATACCTCAATCCCTCCACCAGTCTAAATATACCTTCCAAAGCCTAGTTGGTAATGCTAAGTGCTTCGTTCTGTTTTCGAGTTACCCTTAAAAAGGTCATCTAATACTGACTAATGGTGCTAGTGAAACTATATGGCTACAACATTTTCAAGCCTCTCGGGCATGTAAAGCACAAAAGTAACAAACATGAAACATATCCCTTACCTTACCATTAAAGTGTATGGTCTTTTGCCTCTATTCTCATCAATGCATTGCACATAACTCCTCTGATCACATAAATATAGCGGAAATGTATTTAAAGCACAAATAGAGTGTCTCTAATCGAAAACACTCCGTGATCATACAGAATCTTAATCCAGAATAAATTTCTCACTCAATTATGTGAAATTACTTAGTAAGGTCACTTAAGTTATTTTCGTATCAACAAAGTCACTCTACCTATGAGTTTCCTCTTACAACGTCACTTTAGCCTTCCAATCACCAAAAATATGACTTGACCTGAGTTTTAAGATAAATTACTGATTAGTAACAAGAAATTTGTGTTCGGTGGAAATTCTCAAAGCTCACCATCATATTTTTGCTGATACAAACACAATTAAAGTTACTTTGTTAAGTAATTTCACAGTGAATTTTTGAGAAATTTAAGCAAAATCCTAAAATCTAAACCAGAACATACAGAGGATTCTGGTAATTTGAAAGTGTAGAACCAGAAAAGCATACTGGTTTGAAAGATGAAACCTAACATATCATTCGAAGTTATTGATAGAGAAAAAACCTTTGATTTTTCGCAATACTGAATTGGGACGGACATGGAAGCTCCTTCGATCTCTACAAGTTGTGAGCGCCATCACCTCCTCTTCTTCTTCCATATTCAATTTGATCTGATCTCTCTCGATTTTACATTTTACACTCTCTGTTGACACTAGTCCTCCCTCCACTCCCCACTCCACCCCACCCTCCCGCGCGCGGGGTTGTCAATTCATGTCACGTTTGTTGACTTAAAAAGTTTTTAAAATGGGAAAATATTAAAATTTGATGTATGTTATAGAGAAAACGACCAAAATGGTCTTGATATATAAGGGCTCGAGATTTTTAGTCTTATGTATATATCATGTTGTTGAAATAGTCCTTAATGTATAAAAAAAAATGACTATTTTGGTTCTTAATCTAAAATTAATCATAAAAGTAAAAATTTATATGTTATTGAAATAGTCCTTAATGTATAAAAAAAGATGACTACTTTGATCCTTAATCTAAAACTAACCATAAAAGTAAAAATTTCTGTTAAACTTAAAAGGTGACTATTTTGGTCTTCTTTCTTTTACCACCATTAGAGGCCATGCTCCCTTTTCAGTTCACCCACTTGTCATATTCTTGTAAAAAAATATATATACACACTACACTCATTTGTTAGTTTCCCTCTGAAATAATAATCCCCAGCAACTCCCATTTTAGACAAAAGAAAAAAATGATCCATTAAAAATAAATATGAACTAAGTAAATTAGATAAAACACTCCATTTCTCTTTTACGAGATCTTCATAAGTAAACTCTTTTCAAGTTTAAAACAAGTATTCTCTCTTGTTGAAGAGATCTATGAAAAGAATATAGTTTTTTTCTAATTTAGTCATTTTTAAGATTAATAACTTTTTATGTATTAATTCTTTATTCCGTTTGTTGACATTAAAGGGCGAAAACGTAATGGATAAAGGTGGAAAATAGAATCTTAAAATATTCTTTGAAATTTGAAGAGATTTTTGTGTCAGATTTTTTTTTTTTCTGATAAAACTTGGTTTAGAAAAAAAGGAGGAGGTAATGGAGAGAAGAATAAATCAATTGAGAGTTGCAGCAAGAAGAAAGAAGATTGAGGGAGAAAGGGTTTGCCATGTGGCAATTTTGTGGGACCCACCGTTAAGTTTAAAAAAATATCACTTATATAGTTAGTTTTAGGGTTAAAGACCAAAATGATCATATTTTTATATACATTAAGCACTATTTTAGTAAGGTAAGTTCAAGCCCCATACATCAAGGATCATTTTGGTCATTTTCTCTGTATGTTATATAATATAGTTAGATCGATAATGTACTAAAATTAAGAAGAAATATAGATGAGATAAAATAACAAGTGAATTATTTTTTTCTTTTTCATTTGTTCTCGTCTTTTTTCTTTGTTACAAAAATAGCTATATATGTAGATGTATATGAGTCTATTTGTATTGACTTAAAATTTTTATTTTTAAGCCATTTTTAGCTTTTTGAAGTATTTGATAAGGTTAAAAATAACTTTAAATAAGTTTAAAATAATTTTTTTTTAAAATAGGTCTATATCAACTTTTTATTTTTAATGTAAAAGTTATTTAAGTTTGACTTTTTAATTTTTGATTTAAAATAAAAAAATTTAAGTCAATCCAAATTGACTCTATACTTGGGCATCAAGTATATTGTACAAATAACTAGTTTATAACATAGTATATTGTGTATATATTTATCTTATAACACAATGCATATCATGTGTATATGTATGTTACGGCACAAAATATATCAGATGTATTAACCCACAATCAACCAAATGAAAGATGAAACCTCAGATAGCCAACCAACTTATAATCCTATTCTTACTTAATTCAATCTAAGAAAAAGTTTTTAAAAATAAAATTTTCACCTACCTTTGCCTCAAGAGTCATTCGTATTGACTCAAATTGAGGTGAAAATTAATCAAG